CTCGATTGGAATTCGAACTCGGCTCTGGGATTCCTCAATCCGAGCCGCTAACCATTACTCCACCGCGCTTCCACAGATTGGGAGGGAGTGTATTATTTCAGTATCTTATTTCAAAATCAATAAAAACTATGTGTGTATGAGTGTGTGCGTGTGCTGTGTACACGGTAAATAGAACAAGCACATGTAAGTCAGTGCATAATACATACGTAGGCATATAAATGACATAGGCGCATACAAAGTCGTACGTAGACAGTGCGTGACCGGCTTTGCAATAAAGATTTACGAATTTATATAAAGAAAGCTCATTGGCTTGGTGAATATGACCGACCAAGTGTGAAAAGTGATTTTAAGACAAAGAATACATGTCTATTATTAAAACTGTTATTGTTCGTCGTTATGACCGATTGGATATGTTTCATCATTAACATACAAAGAAAGAGTGAAAACCAACCAAGAAGATCACTTCTTTGCGCCTTCTTGGGATCCCGTTTCCATCTGATACGAACTTATAACGGGAGGTTGCTACGGAAGAAAAATTTATTCTCCCATTTGAATTTCCTACCTTATGGGCATTATAAATAATAACACCGTACTTCATGGGCGTAACGGAATAGCTGAATGGAAAAAGAATGACAAACATGCTTAGTTCTCAGAGAGTATTATAATGCTATGTCGTACACAAAATTAGATATATACACATATACATGTATCCCCCGCAGAGAAATTATAGCATGTATACAACAACAAACGGTGTGTAAAAAAGAGGGAGCCTTATTTGGAAAAATCTCCAGAAGGGAAAACTGGAGTTATGGTTGTTTCTCAATGAACCTGGTTATGGTCAAGTGTTTTTTTTTTGTCCTGTAAGGCCTACCGCTGTGGGCTAGGGGCGTCTTTCTTCATTGGTTTCTACATGGCAACTCCCTTTGTCACTATCCTCTGACGTCATTCCAGGGCCGTCACGTGACCCTTGTGACTATCTCAACGAAAGGGAGACAATCGCTTTTTCTATTCCTACAAAGTGGAAAGATTATATTGAATCCTTGTGCTAAGTCTGCTGCTAGGAAAGTTGGTTCACTGTGTCGTGCGAGACAATTTTTATCCCATCAGAATCTATCTAACATATCTATAAGTCTATCATTCGTCCATGAATATTCCTGCTATATCTGGTCTAGTCTGGTACTCCTATTATATATCTCGAGATAATTGACAAAATTAAAAGAAGGGTCTGTAATGTAATCGATACTGACCTGGCATCTCAACTTCAGTCAATTTCTCACCGACGTGACATGCTCACTACCCTCTGTCTTTCCTACAAATATTTGCATGGCAATTGTTCTGATGAACTTTCCTCCTTGGTGCCTCGACTGCATTAATTTAAGCGTGCTACTAGATTGGCAATTAGGTCTCAGCGTTTTAGTGTTGAACTAGTTAGATGGAACCGTCTCTTCTATTCTAATAGTTTTTTCTCGGACGTGAAACCCCCTTTCTGTTTCTTTCTTCCCTGATACCTACAATCTTTAAACATTTAAAGGCAACGCCAACCGCCATCTTTTGTATCCTGAAAAATTGTTCTTTTATTGTCCTTCTCAACTCTCCCTACTAAAGCCTTCTCATTCACTCCCAGTAACCTCTTGCATCTTAGTGGAATTATCACCTTGCTTGGGGGTGAAATGATTAAAAAACAATTTGGTTATTAAGATGTACATGTCCTACTATTAATTTTCAACTCATCTCTGACCTTGTAACTTACTAAGCTAAGCTTTGTAAATATCAACGCAGCACTAAAGGATAAAGTTGGTTAGTAAAGAGAACGTTCGTTCCTATGGTGACCATTCATATACTGAAAGTATGTCGAATATCATCCGCACTTATAAAATGTGAATAACTCCATGACTTTTGGGTAATTTTTTTTCATTCTGAGTGTTGGAGTTGTTTCGAGGCAAGCTAAACAAATTTTGATTCAAAATTTATAATTTCGAAAGCGTGCTAAAAATTTAATAAAAGACAACCGAACTTTAATTTAAAATTTATAATTTTTGTGGGGTGAATTTGCCATAAGGCACTTTACATTACTTACGGAGAATTAGCAGAAAAATCCTCCTTGGGAAAGGCAGAGTTTATCACATTTTCTCGCAGTTATGGGCTGACCTGTCGGATTGGTATAAAACACGTCGAGCGTGCACCATACAGGGGGTGGGGGGTAAAGCCCAGCCAATATTAACCATTTGAAGTAATCACGGACCAAGCCAATATTTAAAATTTGAATCAAAAACAGACCCATCCAACATCCATCGTTTGAATCTAGTACAGACCAGACTTATAATTATTTTGCGACTAATTTAATTTAATGCAACTTTTCTAGAATTTTTTTTTCAGTTTAAGGATGGCTGAATCCACGTATTCGAAACCCCTGGTTACAAATAGCCGACTATATCTTGTGAATATCGGTACTTTAGAGGCTGCTCCTCGCATTTTTAGTAATTAATGATGACATTTTTTAAAATATAAAAGTGTTTCCGGGCAATAAAAATAAAAAAAGATGAAAAGTAACCCATAAAACATATAATATTATGTTTAAAATAATAATCTTAATGGTAATATTTGCTGTTTTCTTACAAGGAAACATTCAGCAGCCATTGCCCGAGACATCGGTGCTAATTTCGGTTGAAATTTATTAAATCTTTCTGTCAATAACCATTAAGTGTTATTGCTCTTTCCACTATTGATGGAGGTTTCCTTCCTAGCTTTTTGTTTGAAGTAGTGTGGAACGTCATGTAGACCTCCGTCGGTCCGGGTTGACCATGGGTAGCATCCTGGTCTGTGACTGTAGAGGCCGATGGGGGAGTAACAATCTCTGATGCAGAAGTCGCATGCGTGTTCTGTTTCTGGTCTGTTGGAGCTGTCACTTTGCTTTAAGCGAGCCAGCCTTTTCGTGGCGACTTGTGTCAGCTTCTCCTTCCCTGACATGAGGTGTTTTGGTCAGGGTTCCTCTCCATTCGGATTGTATGACTGCCAGGCTCTCCCAGGACTCTATGATGATGTCCACAGCTTTCATGTCGCATCTCACGACATCACGGTATCGCAGCTGTGGCCGCCTGGCGGGTCTCCTTCCAGCGGCCAGATCTCCATAAGGAGGTCTTTGCGGATGCAGCCGTCTGGCATGCGAGGGACGTGGCCCAACCAACGGACTATGCGCTGTTTGAGCAGTGTGAACATGCTGGGAAAACCTGCTCGAGACAGGACCTCAGTTTTGGGCACATTGTCTTGCCACGCTATCCCCAGGATGTGGCAGATGCTTCTCATGTGAAAGGTGTTCAGACGCCTTTCTTGCTTGGCGTACGTGGTCCAAGCCTCGCTGCCATATAGCATTGTGCTGATAACGCAAGTGTTGTATACTGCCATCTTGGTCTTCACCGACAGCTTGGGATTCTACACACATTTTGTGAGGCTCACAAGTGTTGTGGCTGCCTTCCCGATTCTCTTGTCTTGTGGAGCGTCAACATCTCGATTATGTCAATTTCTCTCTTCAGGCTACACGTGCTATCCATTTTAGTTGTTGCCGCTTTTGAAAGACCTCAAGTGATGTGTTTTCTGTTATTTACTACAGTTCTTTCTTTGTGATTGTGTAGCGCCAGTCCATGAAGTTCGAAGAAGGATGGTCCTCGCTGAGAGCTACAGGTTTAATTCGCTCGAGTATTATCCTATTTATACTACTTATATCGTTCGGACTGTTGTCCTCATCTTTATTGTCATATTCACGATGTTTCGACTATTCCGCTGTGACGTAGTGTTGAGAAAGTGAATGAAGCCGAGATTCCAGGTCAGGATCTATAACATTGCAGATGTCCTTTGTGTTTCATCAAGAATCTATAAATACACGTGTCAACCTAATATTTACCGTATTTGACAGCATATAAGACACACGGGTGTATAAGACGCACCCAATTTCAGCAAGGAAAATCAAGAAAAAATTAGCAATTAGCAAAATTAGTAAAATTATTTGGAAATGGTACAGCCTAGGCTATATTTATTAGGTATTATTTTGGTCAAACAAGCCATGATTACAATTAAACGAAAAATAATAGAAAAAAAAAGGACACGAGCCTATAAAATCTTTATTATATCCCAAGGTAAGAAAACAAAATAAAAATCAAGCAATTATTACAATTGAGCAAAACAGTACAATTACTATTAAAATTTTATTCATCTTCAAATCCATAAAATTGTATCGTCTTCGTTATCAAAATTCAGATACTTCTATCATCGTCGTTAAATAATGCGTCATTTTCCGTTCCATTGAGAGCATTGCTAATGCCACACTTTTTAAAAGATTTCTGGTCTAATATTATCCCAAACTTGCTTCACCCATTCGCAGACTTGTGCAATGCTGGATCTTTTTATTCTTCCTGTAAGTGTAAGGTCGTGATCAGGCAATGCCATCCACGTGTTCCATTGCTCTTTCTTTTTAAGTCTAAGCTAATAGGAATTGCCGGGTAGCTAATTTCGACCGACTATCGCGAATTTTAAACCTACATATGGTATATAAGACGCAGGGGAATTTTAAAAGATATTTTTAGTAAAAAAAAAAAAAAGAAGCGTCTTATATGCCATCAAATACGGTAATCAAAGCAAATGCTTTTTATTATCTACCATTGTAACTGTTATGTATATAGTGTAAATGCTGGGAGTAGAAAACCAAGTCATTTCATAAGATATTTTGGCGGCAGATAAAAATATAACAGCGTATAAGTTTGCCTACAGCTTCCCTGTACCTTTTCTATAAATATTTCCATGGTAATTCTTCTGATGAGCTTTTCTCGTTGGTACATTGACTTTACGAATTCAAGTGCAGTACTAGATTGGCATCTAGGTTTCATCATTTTACAGTTGATTTGGCCAGATGCAACCGTAAGTTCTATGCTAACAGTTCTTTCTTTCGCACTTCTCACTTTATTTCTTTCTTGATGTTTTTAATCTCTTTTTCTAATTTTAAATTAAAGCCAAAAAAGACTTAACAACTGCCGTGATGAGTTTGAGAAAACTTGACAGCTTGCTTTTATCAACGACTCAAGGTCCTTGTGAAATTCAGCTTCACCTCGGTGACATCACCAAACTTTCAGTGGAAGACAAAGTGGATTTAATTCTGGTTTCGGCGTTTCCATGTGAGTTCTCTTTACTTGTAATGTCTCACTTAGTTTCAGTAACATTTCCTAACAGAATTACCATTCACTTTCTGACCATGAGACCCGGGCTCGAATCTCACCATAGTCGATTAATCAAAAAGTAACTTCTTTATATTATAGCCCTGTGTTGACGATGCTAGTGTGACGCACCCTTAGGAAGCATCCGAAAACCATACCACAGGCTAACCCAAGCCTCGTGAGTGAAATAGGGTAAATGGATGTGCTATTACAAAGTAACAATCATCGTGACAGAGGGTTTATACGTACTGGCCTTAATCACGATTATATGCTCTCTTTCAGAAACTGTAACTAAGGTACGCTTAGTATAGTTGCAACAGAAGTGAGTTCTGTAGATGTTGAACAAACGCACATGTGCCTGATCAGGTGTCTGCAAAAGGGATTGGTTAGCCGCTCAAGCAGATGGGCGTTCTTAGTTACAATTTATGAAGGAGAGCAGTTTGAACAACTCCAGAAACCTACTCCAGTAGGCTCAAACCCTCGGTCACGATGGTTTGTGATTTTGTTCTAGGGTAACGATCGACAGTTTCCGAATGGTCCCGTCTTCTCAATTCACTCACAAATGGTATGCTTTTCAGGTACTTTTTCAAAGGTGTCGCACGATGGTACCCAGACCGATAACCATGGTGAGATTCAAGTCCGAGTTTCATAGTGAACATTCTAATCAGTCGGCCAAGCGCCCATACATACATACATACATTATTTTTTTTCTTTCTTTGCACGCTTGGATGATCATGTCTCTTTCCGATTAATGAACTTTTGATTGACTTGACAGAAGAATTTCCCCAGGAGGCTACCTTTACTTTCTGCGGTAGGCCGGTCACCATCCAAGGTTATTTAACACACACACACACACACACACACACACACACACACACACACACACACAGACAGATAGATAGATAGATAGATAGATAGATAGATAAAAGTTAATATATTTCATCCTTGGCTAAATGCATATCCGAAAGTGCTTGGAAATTTTAACATCTGGACAGTTTTTATATAATTTATCTACTAAAGAAAATTAAATTAAATTAAAGTATCTAGTTCTGTTTCATTTTTAAGCGAATTTCAGAATTTAATTTAATTTCTATAACTGAACTGGAAGTTTTAGCTTCTGTTTTAGAAACATGGTAATTCCTGTGTAGCGATGGAATCATATTTAAAAAAAAATTATAATATACACACACACACACACACACACATATATATATATATATATATATATATATATATATATACCATTCTACAAACAACTTTACTCGTATATTTATTCCCAATTCCAGGGTTCCGAAAAATGCCAGGATTAATCTAATATAAACCTTTTCTTTATTGAAATGTTTTCACTGTTGGTACCAGGAAGTATTACTGGCGGAAATAAAGAAGGGAGTACTGAACTGTTACGTAATATCGGTCCTCCTATGTGGTAGTGAATATTGGACAATCTTCTCACAGATGACGAAGAGACTTCAAGGAACAGAAATTTAAATATATAGGAAAGAGATTATTTAAATATGTATATGAAATAAGAAAACAGAGTTAGTGGTTGCCAAAAAAAAAAAAAAAGAAAAAGCCTCAGATTCCACCTACGAATCGGAGAGGCCAACATCAAACAAGTACAGAATTTTAAATGTCTGGGAAGTGTTTTAACAGGGGACGGAAAATGCGAACACCGAAATTCGAAGGCACATTGGGAAAGCGAAAAATGCCTTCTAAAACTAAGCAGAGTATTAAGAAACAGAAAAAATTCGTTAGAAATCAAGAAAAGAGTCCTGAACTGTTACGTAATATCTGTCTTCTATCTGGCAGTGGATCTACAGAAGGTTGCTGAGAATACCATGGACTGAACATGTGAGCAATGAAGCTTTAGAGAAAATGGAAACAAAAAGGACACTTATACTTTACATTGAAAAGAATTTTCGAGGGCACATAATGAAAAAAGAAAGCTAGGAAAATTTAACACTCACAGGACCTATTGAATGTAAGACGGACAGAGAAAAAAAAGAGATATATCCTACCTAACGAGCTTGTGGAAATAGATAGCAGAAACAAGTTTAGGACAGATAAGAAAAAGACAGGATTTTCAAAGAGATACAAAGGAAAAGGAAATAGTGGAGAACCATGATTCCCGACGTTTTAAAGGGACACGGCACATAGAAAAAATAGAATTCTTTAAAAAAATCTATGTCGTCAAACATGCAGAAAAAACATTTGGTTGTTTATTTTGTTTCACAGTATTTCTCCAATTTTCCAGTAGCAGAAGAAAAAAATGAAGTTTATCCGTAATGTTTTGATTTCTACGTAAAATCATGGCTCTCCACAATTTCCTGTCCTTTGTAGCTCTTAGTAAATTTTGTCTGTTTGCTATTTTTTTTCAATGTAAAACCACTTTCTGGAAAACTGGAAGTGCTATAAAACTTACAGAGACAAACTTTGTCATTTGAATTTAACAAAATTGTTTAGGGTAAAGAACAAATAGGAAACGTTTCCTGTTTGTTTCTGTTTCTCATCCTATCATTCTGTCGGATAATATATATATATATATATATATATATATATATATATATATATATATATATATATATATATATATAAAAAAAAAAAATCGTATGTGTTAAAAAGTGCTCAATATCAGGTTAGAAAAATCAAACCTGCAGAGCGACTTAATATCCTAAAATAATAAAACGCTGAATTGAACACTATCACGGTTTCGATCGCCAAGCTCTCATCAGGCGGTTAACTCAGCGAAATAATCATTGATTATTGATTATATATATATATATATATATATATATATATATATATATATTCCCACGGTAAACATATTTTTGTTTTGAGCATTCTTTTCTTTTGCTTTTTTTTGTACTTTTTTTAGTCCATTAAGACTCAAGGTTAAATCAATAAGAAAAAAAAAAAAAAAACATTATTAAGGCGTGAGAACAATAAATGAACAGGAATTAGAAGGACACAAGATAATGATTGACATTGCATTTGCCTGAAGATCAAAGGTGACTGTAAAGCAAGAGTTCGCAATAGAGTTCCACAAACGAAGTGCATAAGAATAGAATATATATATATATATATATATATATATATATATATATATATATATATACCGGGCGTAACAGCAAAATTGTTCAAATCGTGTAACAGCATAATTGTCCATCCCACAAAATGTTTAATATCTAAAAAGCCACTAAAAAAATTAAGTTTCTTTTTTCTACGTTTTCAAACAGGACGTTTAGCTATCTTGACACCATTTGTCGTAAGAATCACTGAAAAAAAGCCTTTTTGTTATTCAGCTAGAAATAGAACAGAGCCTAATCGTATTATAAAAACTTTGAAGTATTCCAGTAAGATATCTTTATTCATTTCTAAGATACATCGGTTCAAAGCTTAATCTAACAATTGGACAACTTTGCTGTTACACGATTTAGACAATTTTGCTGTTACTGTTATATATATAAGAAAGTAATTTTTTTTATATATATATATGCCACACGGGTAAAAATATAGAAAAAAAGAAGTTGAAAATGCAAATATTTATTTAGAGTTACTTTACCGGTTTTACGGTTCTACAATTTTCATAAGATAAATTGAGGTGGCGAAACCTGTGGCTATGACATGATATGCCTCGCAACTGGCTGGAGTTGGAGAATTCTTTCCGTTTTAAGCAAAGGGAAGGGATCTCGGACTGCTATCTGCTCAAAATGCAGTCTGATTGGTTGATTATGATCACGTGATCTGACAGTAATTTTTGAGACAAAAATTGGTGATCATAAAATTTTGTTGTCACAAATTGTGGACGTCATATAGTTCAGTGAGCGTGCGTCATGACAACGGATTGTTAAGTAGTTCATAACAACAAAGTGTTAAGTTGTTAAATGCAACAAAGTGTTAAGTAGTTCATGACATATATTCTGAAAAAAAAGAAGACCTATAAACTTTTTTGGTATATAAGAATTGTAAAAAAGATTTAGAAGCTAATGTTTCGAAAAATATAAAATTGCTGAATGAAATTTTATGATTTATTTTAAAAGTTAATAGTAATTATTTTAAACAAATGATACAGTTCATCTTAAGAGGATTAAAAACAAGAAGACAATTTTAGTTGTTTTTCTGTTTAGTTTTCAGTTCTAGCAAAAAGTGAGGTTCGTCTATAGTGTCGTTGATGTAATAGCACTTTGATTTTGGAGAATATTACTTACATCTATATCTTATATTGCAGGTGACTACACGGTTGCATCTCAAAGCTTAATCAAAAGCCTTTATGTAAACCTGGGTTTATCAGTTGAGAAATTATCACGGGACAAATATATGGACCTCAGAAAATATTACTCCTGTTGGCTATCGAAAACTCTACCGTCTCATCTACCCTTTGCTCGACTGGCGTGTTTTGAAAGGTATGATATCGAATAACCTTTTTAGATGAAATGGTTGGCCATAAGTCAGTATCTAAATCGAAATCCTGGTTCTTCTCATTCATGTTGGAGGAAACCTTTCCCAGATTGATATCCAGCACTTCCTATCTCTGGCTAACACTGCGTTATTAGGGGCTCGAGGTATCGAGTCAGGTCGTTGAGCCATCTTATCTTACCCCCTAACAGTCCACTTGTTGTCTCTGAAACGATAGACGTGGTCAGCTCATCTATGTTTGCCCTACATGATGGTCTCGATTATGTTCTTCACTCTCGTCTGCTGTCGAATGTTGCCCTTCCTGGCACGTCAGGTGATGCCGAGCATTATTCCTGCCATTCTACGTTAATCCAGTGCAAGAGTTTCAGCAGTGGTGGTCAATAATAAAATGTAATAGTAATAGGAGTAATTCTTTGTTTTTAAGTACTGAAGTTCACTTAAGACTAGGTTCAAGAGCCACTCATGATAGAATATTACTAAATGAAATGTACTATGAGCATAAGAGTTAGATGAAAGTTACAATTATGGGGATAAGGAGGATAGATAGCAATTAACCCTTGGATTGAAGAGGTTAAGATTTTAATGTTTCGGGAAGCATCCCACGTGGGAGTTGTTTTCTTCAAAGTAACAGTCCATGGGAAAAAGTTGTGTGAGTCGAACTTCCTCCTTAAAATGGAATATGGAAGAAATATGGGAGACTCGATTCCGTGCACGTAGTATTTATATCTCAAAGTGTTGTAGCATACCTACGGACGATAATGGGTATGTCCTCATTCACATAAATACAGTAGTAAATACTGTATGTTGGTCTGCAGTTGGAAATTCGTCTCCAGCTGTGCTGCCTCCAGGCAGAGAGGATCCCCAGACAAGGCTATATCAAAGGGCAGACTCTCGTCTCGGGAAACAGCTACCCGGCCCCCTTTTATACGGGGTCTACGGGGAATTTTTGGCTGAGCCTACGTGCTCGGATATCCCACATTAAATTCAGCCTTGTGCCACATCTGATCGCGTGAGGCGGTTGGTAGATATCCTGCAGTTAGAGATTCATTGTGAAATTCACTTGACTCACTTCCAGCAGTTGACTACTTTTTGTACACGTCGGCAGCGAATCTTATGTGTTGTTCTTGTCCTAAGTATTATCGTTCATTACCACCCTTCGTGTGTTTATTCTATTCAGTAACCTTCCCTAGGTTACAACACAAAGCCTCAGAAGATTTTATATGTTTAATTACATCCTTTTTTTCTTTCATTGTTTTTTCTTTTTTCTTCCTTTTTTTGTCGACATCAGGCGAGGCAATTATGTAAACCCAATCGAACAGATTAAAGATATGTTTCGTGCTTTTATGCCTATTTTCAACTCACAAGACACAACGGTGATAACTCCACTGCTTGGAGCTGGTTGTCAGGTAAGCAACACCAAATTATTTTTTAATCACTTCGCCAGAGGCAAGGCAATAAAACCACTAAGACGCAAGGGCTTACTGAGTGTTGGGGTATATGAAAACATAACTATTAAGGAGAGAGAACAATAATAAAACAGGAATTAAGAAGACAGAAGACAATGATTGCATTTAAATTTTTTGAAGATCAAAGTTGTTAGGAAAGCGAGAAGCTGGAAGGGAGTTCCATAGGCGAGAAGCACGAAAGGAGAAACTATTAGCATAGAACTTACGGTTCCATCTAACCATTTCAACTGTAAAATGATGAGATCTAGCTGTCAATCTAGTACTGCGCTTAAATTCATAAAGTCTAAGTACCAAGGAGGAAAGTTCATCAAAAAAATTACCATGAAAGTATTTATAGAAAAGGCAGAGGAAAGCTACATTGAGGCGGTGGGAAAATAGATGAAGTCGATATGCCAGGTAAGGACTAATAACATTGCAGATTCTTCTTTATATTTTATCGAGAATATCTAAATATATAGCAGGAGCACCAGACCAGATGTGGCAGTAATATTCAAATATTCAAATAAAAGGCGAATGGTAGACTTATAAATAAGATAGGTTCCAGCACGACACAGTGAACCAACTTTCCTAGCAGCAGACCCAGCAATTGATTCAACCACTTTATAACTTTTTTAGAACATCTTATCCCTTAAGGACTTACGCTATCATGACTCTCCACAAGTTACAATCTTTTGTTGGTCTCAGCATTTGTCATTTTTTTACCGATCACAAATTGAGAGGCATCTCCTTTATGTGCCACGCCCCCCTCAGGACGTAGTCGATAATGGCTCTCTACAATTTCCTGTCCTTTGTAGCACGTAATAAATAAATAAAGCTAAGTTATGCGTTTTTTTCCTCTGTCCTTCTTGCCTTCAATCTATCTCGTGAGTATCCTATTTTCCAAACCCTCTTCTCTCATTATGTACCCTATAAATTTAAACTGTCTCTTACTGAAGTTAATTATAAGTTTCATTTTTGTTTCCATTTTCTCTAAAATTTCGTCGTTGTTCAAATCTTCGGTCCATGGTATCCTCAGCATCATTCTGTAGATCACATTGCAGTTGCTTCAAGCCTCTACCTCATCTTTGAGGAGATTTTGTAGCATTCACTGCCATATAGGAGGACAGATATCACGTAACAGTTCACTATTCTTTTCTTTGTTTCTAACGAAGTTTTTTTTTCTGTTGCTCAATACTCTGCTTAGCTTTAAAAGGCATCTTTTGCTATCTCAATACATCATTGGATTTCAGTACCACTCTTTCTGTCCTTTGTTAAAAACACTTCCCAGATATTTAAATTGTTGTTCTAGTTCGATTTTGGCATTTCCGAATTGTAATTTGCATTTGGGGCTCACCCTTTTGCTAACAGCCATACATTCTGTCTTCTTGCAGTTGATGTTTACACTTAATGGTTGAATAATAATAATAATAATAATAATAATAATAAAATAAGAAGAAGAAGAAGAAGAAGAAGAAGAAGGAGAATTTAATAGTAGATAGGTTTACCTCTCGTCCAGTTCACGTCCTCTCCTTTCTTTTGAACAGGAGTAGGGGTTTATCACTTGTTTCCTGTTTAGGATTGGATTTCTGGTTCCTTCTGAAGTATTCTCATTCTCTTTCACTCTCAGTAGCCCCTTGCGTCTTAGTAGCGTCGTCGCCTTGCTTGGGGTTAATAGATAAAAAAAGTACTATGTTTTCTTTTTCTTTTCTTAAACCGCACTGTTCTCAAAGTGTTGTAAAATATTGAAAGAGTTACGTCAATCATTCTGTTTAATAATAATAAATGTCCTGATGATATACAATGCGTGGCTCTCATGATATTTTATCAAAACTAATTGGAGGGATTAACATGTATATGTTTTGTTTTTGCGAATTAAGATGGGCTGCAGTAAATATTCGGTTCAGTATCACAGGTTTGCTTGTAAGTTGCATGACCCTAACAAGTTGGTCATGTCTCCTAGGGATTGACACACTGTGCATCTCTGTTCATGGGCCGGAGTAACGGGGAAGGATTATAACCCAGTGTTGATTGAGATGGGTATTTTTTGTTTGAAGGATGCGGAAACCAAGGAAGCCATATATATAATACTTAGAAACGACACTAGATAAGTATATGAAGGCCGCACTGAAGCATGAGAGTGCTAAGAATCCTTCTATCATTAAACAATGTCAAGAAATTCGAGTGTCTTTAGATGTAACAGATGCTCAAGGCGATAAATATCCTGAAGCTGCAGCAAAGAAAAGTAAATTACTGGCGAAAGTTGCTTATATGAAGACTCTTGAACAAAAAGAAAATGGAGATCTAAACCCTTTTTTGGAAAGTACCCAAAGCACCTGGACGAACCAGACATCGATGTTCACCAAACCCATCAATAGCTTAGTAGCAGTGGTCTTAAAGGGAAACAGAAGGACTTATCATGGTAGAACAAGACCAATGTCTTCCAACTGATGCCTACAAAACTAAAAGATGGCTCAAATTCCGGTTGTCGCTTATGCCATAAATTTGATGAAACTGTGCCCACATAGCATCAGGATGCCCAGTCTTTGCTGTGAAAGAATACATTATTAGACATGGCAGGCAAGGACAATATATTCATTGGCATGTCTGTTCGAACTTTGGTATTGAAGTCCCGGATACATAGTATAAACACCACCTGAATGATGTCACAAATGATGATAGAGTGACTATACTGTGTAATTCTCCAGTCGTCACAAACAGGAAAATTGATGCAAACAGACCAGACATGTTGATAAAAGATTTCAAAAAAGGAACCTGCCAACTAATTGATATCACTTGCCCAAAGGATCCCAATGTTTCTGAAAAAAAAAAAAGTATTTAAAAAACGTCAAATTATAAAGACCTGTAAATCGAAGTACCAAAAATATGGAAATTTAAAACTACGATTGTCCCTTTTGTTACAGAAGTATTAGGTATGATAAAGAATGGTACCGAAAATCATGTGAGTACAATTCCTGGACACATGAGCAAATCAGAGCTACAAAAAGATTAATTTATGCGGAACTGCGCATATCATGCACAAAACTCTCTCCTTCTAAACGAAACGTTCCAAATGTTTATAGATAACTCTCCTACAGTGCCCTTTTACGCATAGGCCCCGGGGTGGGTGACTTGGTAAGTAGGTAGTTAAAATTACTATCTGACAGGATGATATCACACACAATAATGATAATAGTTACACCAATGTCAAGTTCATAGCATTACTATGAATAAAGCATTTATTGTACGCAATAAATATTTATCGGATACATTTGGCTGTGATGCATGTCCGTACTTGGTATGACGACAAACTACATCCGCGTCCTGGGTAAGACGATAAACTACGTCCAACAGCAAGTCCTCTGATCAGGAGGTTTTGAGGAGCGTGGAACCACCTCTTACTTGCTGGTGTTCCCAGGTCCATCCTGACCCGGGTTGGTAGCACCTGTTAGGGTCTCAACCATGGGCAAATACTTAGCCCTAAACCTTGCTGAAAACATTATGAAAGTGTAAAAATAGGTTTTAATACCAACAATACATTTTTCAAGAAAAAAAAATTACCAGCAATGCATTTTTGTAAATAATTATTACCAGCAATACATTTTTGAAAAAAAAAAAAAATTACCAACAATATATATTGAGGAAAAAAATTGCCAGCAATAATACATTTTTGAAAGAAAAAATATTATTAGCAATACATTTTTTTGGGAAAATGTTACCCGCAATAAAAGTCTTGTCGTCATTAAAACGCCCATAGAGCTTGGTGTGCCGTAAAACAAAACAAAAAAAAAAACAAAACAAAACAAAAAAAAAACAAACTGTGATGCATGTGATTTATGTACCCTTATCAGATTGATTCTCATGATAGGTTTATTAGTCTTTGTATATTTGTACCCAGCGTCAGCTTGTTGGCATGCTGCTATTTCACTCAATAATTATTGGACTGCTGAGGACGACCCTGAAAAGCCTACTGCAGAAGGTGGAAGAATCGGAAAACGCAAGAAGAATTGGCACAATCCTGATAACATATCTTGATAACATATCTTGATAATAATAATAATGATAATAATAATATTATCTAACTTACCTTGCTGAGAATGATGATGATATAGTGTAATATATTTTGACGATGATAAAATTGTTTAACGTAACTTGATGATGATGCTGATGATATGATATAACTTATCTTGATGATGATGATGGCCACGACGAAATAGTCAAATATCTTGTTGGTGATGATGATTATTTTTGTGATCCGTTACACGTACATAATACAAGTAATAACAGAAAGACTTCAATGTAAAATAATAAAGTATTTAATTACCAACACAATTAAACGTCAACGGAAAGATTATTGATTACTTATCAGTTAATACACAACTGTGTAGAGCTACCAAGAAAAGTACTAATTCGCCCTGGAACACCTGACACTCGACTTTAACGTCCGGGTTAACACAATAGTCAAACACGTAATTGTAACCACCCAGTCAGTGGCATGATATCTCTGTTTATAGTAAATGACGATCTACATTTTCATTGTCTAGAGATTCACGTTCAAACTCCGGTGTCAGCAGTGACACTTTTTTTTATACATATATGACAATTATATAGTCCAACTTATTTTAATGATGATGACGATGATGACATAGTTTAACATAATTTCATGTTGAGGATGATATAGTCTAACTTACCTGAGTAATCTAACTTACCTTAATGATGATGGTGATGACGGTATAGTCTAATTTATCGTGTTATGACGGGCATGATATTGTCTAACTTACCTTAATGATAATGATGATTTAGTCTAATTTAACGTAAATGATGATTACGTTAATAATGATGATATATTGTAAATTACCTTAATGATGATAATGATGATATCGTCTAACTTACATTGATCATGAGGATAATAATACAGCCTAAGTTATTTTGATGATAATGATGATGATGATGGTGACGTAGCCTACCTTGTAGTTATGTTCATACCAAAGCAGACCAGCCAGTTCATTTCATTTGGTTCAGTTTTGAACCGGTTAACATTAAAGTGAATTTCTCTCACACTGGAATTTCAGCGTCTTGTTTGTTACGAAGATTTATGATGATCGTTTCAGTGTTCGTACCGTCGTCGTCGCTGTCAGAGAAGAGAACTCAACACAAGTATTTTTTTTCTTTTTTTTTTTTTTACCTCGGCCAACATCACCCAATTTTGTACAGTCATCAACAATAAAAAAAGAAAAGTTTACTACTGTATTCGCTCTTTTGACTTAGTTTCTTCCTTCTTTAAGTCAAACTCGAAGATGTTTGCAGAATAATTCCGCTCGTCTTTTGTAGTACGCTAAGTAATTAGTTTTAACCTTTATCAAGGTTAACAAGGGATGCAATAGCTTACTTGGTGCTGCTTGGACGAGTAAAGGAATTAAGCAGTTTACCCACTTTTGTTCACGCATGCACCTTCTCTCTTTTGTGTCTACTATCGTAGATTTTTTTTGTGTTACTATAGTATGATATATACTGAGGCATTTGCGACCTACTGTAAATGATGATGCACTCATTATTGCTGTAAAATGATCAGGAAAAATGATGACCTGTTTACTGTTTCTTTTTTAAATGACATCAAATCAGTTTACAAACATTAAAATCACTATCTGATGATTTTTTAGTATAAAAATTATTAATGATTTTTAATGCATAACCAGTTCACTGTTCACGGCCTTTAAACCTAACCTCTAACCCTAACTCCTAACCCTAACTCCCAACCCTAACACCTAACCCTAACCCTAACCCTCAACCCTAACCCTCAACCCTAACCTTAACCTATTTCATACTTCCAACAGTTGACAAATATCATACCATAGTAGAAAATGAATAGTAGATATCATACTAGAGTTGCACTGTTTTTTAATACTAATGTTCACCCAATACAAGGCCCAAGAGTCACTCAAGGTAGAGTATTACGGTATGGTGTTGTATGAATGTAAGGAAAGGCAAGAAGTGGGTCATGCAGGAAAGATAATGGTTAACCCTAGACCTGAAGAGGCCAAAAATGTAGTGATTGGGAAAACATCTTGCCGAGAGTCTGTTCCACAAAGCAGCAGTTCTTGGGAAGAAGCTGTCCGAATGAAACTTACGCCTTATTAATGGAATACAAAGATAATGAGGATGATAGCAATGTCAATAGATGCGATAATAGGACAGAGCGTAGGGAAAAATGGTTTCATGCCTTTTCTAAGAACATTTGCAAAAAACCGTGCAACAAATCGTACGTCCAAAAGTTATAATTGCCGCATATACTTGACTATACTCCAACCCTTTTTCCAATTTTCTAGAATGAAATATAACGAAATTAACATGTTAACCACTACCTTGGGTATTTTGAACATTTATATTAGGTTGGTGCAAAAATAATGACGTAATAATGTCGTTTTTTGACGTTACGTCAAAAAACGACATTATTACGTCATTATTTTTGCACCAACCTAATAAATGTTATGGGTTTCTTTTTATACAATGAATTCGGTAGATATACAAAATTAAAAAAGGGTGTAAGACAAGGATGTGTCTTCTCACCGGACTTATTCAACCTAAGCAGTGGCAATTCTGAAAGATTTAGAAGTCCCACCAGGATTCATTATTGGCAAAATAAAATATGCAGATGGCACAATGTTGATAACAGACACGGAAAGGAAATTATAAGAACTCGACAATGGAGTATTGCTGCCATATATGATCTGGAGCCCCTTCTGTTTGCCTCGGGGTTCTTGATAAGATCCAGAGACGGATATGCAATGTAATTGTCCCTGATCTAGCATCTCGTCTGCAGTCGCTTCCTTACAGACGCGCCGTCGCCTCTCTCTGTCTTTTTTACAAATACTTTCATGGAAATTGCTCCGAGGAGCTGCTTGCGCTGGTTCCCAGACTTCATGAATTCAAGCGTCCTACGAGGCTGGCATCCCGCTCTCACCCTTTCACTGTTGAAACTGTTAAATGTAGCCGTCTCTTCTACTCCAATAGCTTCATATATCGCACCTCTCGCCTGTGGAACTACCTCTGCTTTTCCTGTTTCCCTGATAACTATAATCTCCAACTATTCAAATGTAATGTCAATCGACATCTCCAGTTGCCTTGATCTATCCACTATCCTTCTCCTCATCCTTTCCTCTATCACTCCTATCTGCTCTCACTCCAAATCTTCTGTAACCCCCTGCGTACTAGTGGCTTCCCGCCTTGCTTTGGGTGAATCGATTAAAAAAAAATAGAAAAAACACTCTTCTATCTTATATCAAAATTACCTCGGTTCAATAAAAAAAGACAACATTTTAGAAATTATGACTTGGCCACCTCAATCTTCTGACCTCTCTCCCACTGAATTAGTACTGGATGAATTTGATAGGAGAGTTCGAAGAGAATACCCAAAGAGTGAGAGTGAGAGTGAGCTTTTTAAGTGCTTGAAGAATGCTTGGGAAAGTCTATCACACACTTTTTTTCAAATGTTTTTAGAAAAATTGACAAGAATTTGTAAAGCAGTATTTAAGGCAGGTGTTGGTTTTATTGACGAAAATAAAATATGATGCTGTTGAATGATAATTTTTTTAATAGTTATTTGCTTATTTTCTGTCAAAATAAAGACAAATAGACTGTAGTTACTGAAATTTTATCTTTCACTTTAAGAAAATACAAAAATATTTCATTTTTAGATGAATCTTTTAAAGAAATGAAGTGTATCCCAAAACCTTTGCCTGTAGTGTATACTACAATGGATGATATAAATATACCTGTAATATACTAGATTTCTTTTTTGTTTTCTCTACATAGTGCTATGCAATGTATTTGAACATTGTGATCTCTAAAAATACAAGTAAATAGTACTAAGATTTTCTTTGTTTCTTAAAGAAATAATAAAAGACACTGACACAATTCTATCCAAAAATAAAAAATTCTTTTCTGTTATGGTAAATAGTGTCTGTTAGAACAGCACGCATCATTTAAATCAAAAACTATATAGCACAAAGAATAAGTACGCCCTCTTCTCAGTGCCACAAGACAGAAGCTGAATCAAATGCGTAATAAATTGTTAATTATCCCACTTTAGCAAAAACTATGCAGTACATCGATGCAGAGAGTGTAATACGTCTATAGTGTTTAATTCACTTTCGCAAAAATTTACTCTTGGGAAAAACACGGATCCATCTCTTCTTTCCCCATCTGTTGGTTAAATAGTAGGGTAGATTAGGCTTTCAAGCGTTGGGGAGAATTCAGTCTAAGAGGACTATTTTGAGTTCAAAACCCCGGGGAAATCCACTATCTTGCCAAAGAAATCATGGCAATTCACAAATGACAAAGAAAAGGAATGCGTGGAGAGCTATGATCACCTATTCTCTGAAATGACATGACATTAAAAAATAAATGAATAAACGCGAAAATGACGTTCGTAATAATAAATGCTTTTAAAACCATTTCAGACCTAGTTAATGGAGCTGTTATTTATTTTTTTATCACTTTTAGAATTTTGATGAAATACTTGTCCTCAACACAATAATAGAAGCGGCGTGCAATTGGATGAGAATCGGTCTACCCCTCCGGTGCTTGAAGATTGTTCTTTATGACAAAGGCTCTAGCAAAATTACGGCCATAAACGAAAAATGCATCGGAGAGTTTGCAAAACTAAAGAAAAAATGGGAAACACCACTGGTTTTTCAGGTAAGTTTTTTTTTTATCATTTCACCTCAAGCAAGGCAATAGAACATTATTACGGGAACTAAAAAGACAGAAGATAATGATCGACAGTGCATTTAGATTTTGGAAGATCAAACTTGATTGGAAAGCAAGTAGCCACAACAAAGTTCCACAAATGAGAAACGCGAGAGAAGAAACTGTAAGCATAGAACTTACGGTTCTATTTAGACAATTCAACATAAAAAATGACGAGACCTTGCCGCCAATCTAGTAATGCCCTTAAATTCATAAAGTCTAGGTACTATAGAGGAAATCTCATCAGAACGATTAACGTGATAATATTTACAGAAAAGGAACAGAGAAGCTACATTACGACGGTGGGAAAAAAATGACTGAAGCCTAGATGGCGGGTCAAGACCAATAATATTGCAGCTTCTTCTTCGGAATCTCTAAATATATAACAGGAGCAGCAGACGATATATGGCTGAATATTTAAAGCGTGGTTAAATAGTGTCATGGGTCCTTACCTATAACTACAAAATGAACTCTTCCTAACACTATGTATACTACGCCTCTCAAGACAGAGGGACGAATCGAGTCGAGCCGATAGTAGTTCACTCCAAACCAGACTGACAGTCATACTAACACCTTCCACATCTTGTATTATTAATTCGTGTAATATACCTTCGTTATTTCTACTCTTGTGTTCGTGTTGTTCTTCCTTGGTCCTAACCTGGACCATAACAAATACTAAATTTATAAATATGCAAGATAAATTCCGGAGAGAAAAAATTTCTAGTACGACACAATGAACCAATTTTCTTACCAGCAGACCAAACAATTAATTCAATATAATCCTTCCAATGTGAGCGGAAAACGTTAAGCCAAGAATGCGCAATGAGTCGCTCTTCTAGAGGTTAGCATCAGCCATGCTGATGGAAGGCAGAACAGGTTATTTCAGATGATTAATATAGTGCTGTTTCGTTTTAGAGTCGTTAAAATTTTAGAACCCATTCCATGGGGCAGTTACTGTAAAGTTCACGTATCAAACCAAACAGCGATGGAGCCGAACACCAAACACTGGCCGGGAATAAGTGAGGAAATCAGGAGATGAATAAAATGTAAAGTTAAATACGAAACATTAGCACTTATGAAGATATCCACTACAATACACTTAGGAACGACACTCTAACTTATTCCCAATCAATCTGGACCAAAATATTTCAGTCTGGGACGAGTGTGGGCTCGGAGCTGTGATTTTTGGTTCAGTGATTGTGGCTAGCTAAATATAAGATAAGACAGAAGATGATCAACCTCCCCATTTTCAATTTTGGCTTTGTGTCACATTTTTTGTATTTATACAAAAATAAATATCATTTGGTTAAATAATGCACTATTGTTTGTATCACCTCACAATAATTGCAAGTAAAATGATACACTAAAATAAGTAACCAAGAAATCATTTTAAGTTCTCTGAATATCGGTGTCAATATTAACTTTGTGTCCCCTTCAATGAAATTAAGGAAAAAGGAAAAGTCGGTTCATGTTAATCTAAACGGGTTTACACATAAATATTTAATCGCAACAAATTAAGCTGTACTTATTTCGATTAACCGCGTTACAGGAATATCCTGGGATACTAGTTTAATTCGTTCTAAGACTGAGCTCGTAACTCAAAAGACTCGTATTTCAAATCAATTTTCCCATTGAATTTAATGGGAAAATTTCGGATCCGTTCCAGGCCTCTAAAAATCACCCTTGTTTTTCTAAAGCACCAAGTGGAAACGCGCAACCCCCTTGGCCACTAAACTGGCTGAATATATAACCTTCTAATCCGGAATTATTTGTTTTGTTTTTATTCTTCAGATGCTAAAGAAGATTCACGATGTTTATATTTCCTACAGCCCAAACGATGCCGACACAGCTGAAATGCTTGTTACACATTTTGTGACGTCCAATAAAACAATAAAGGTTTTCTCGAAAAGAATTCAGAACAAAAGCAGCAAAGTTTGGCCTGAACATATCATGTCTGCAATGTCTGGTTGCAAACGGCAAGTAAACAAAACCAAAGTACATTCTTTCTTTAAGGAAACGTTTTCGTTTTGTTCCAGTTTTCAACCGTTATATTTACATCAGAAAGACCCTTTAAATTTTCACGGTTTTCCTATTTGAATTTTCTGATGAATCCTAATTCTCCAGTTCACCATTGAATAAGCATTTGCGAGTTCTTGACTATAAAATTACCCATGGATACTATATTAAGTTAAACGTTTCTAAATTCATATGATTATCAATCAGTGTCATTTGACATTTTAGAATACTGTAAAACTTGATTGAAATTACATATATAATATTTCGGACAGAACTTATGGAATGACCTGATAGAATAATAAAAATAAGTCATAATACAGTAATATTAAATGCAAAAAGGTTTTAATATATATTATCAAAAAATTTAAGGCTGTTTTCAGGTTCTGAGTTGAGGTTTTTATTATTATTACATTTTTTCTAATCATTTCTCCACAAGCAAGGCGATATAAAGACACTATGACACAAATTGTGAAAAGAAACGGAGAAAAAGCATTATTAAGAAAAGAGGACAATAAAAGAACAGCATTTAAGAAGATAGAAGATAATGATTGACATTGCATTTAAACTTTTGAAGATCAAATTTGACCGGAAGGCAAGAAACTGGAAAAGAGTTCTACAAGTGAGAGGTGCGAGAGAAGGAACTGTTAACATATAACTTACGGTTAGATTTAGCCATTTCAACTGTAAAATGATGAGATCTGCTTGCCAATCTAGTACTGCGTTTAAATTCATAAAGTCTAGGTATCAGTGAGGAAAACATTATTTTCATGCTAATTGTTTAATTAGCATGAAAATATTTATAGAAAAGGCATAGGGAAGCTACATTACCTTGGTGGGAAAGTAACTGATACCGAGATGTTAGGTCAGGACTGATAACATTACAGATTCTTCTTTGGATTTTGTCAAGAATCTTGTAATTCATAGCAGAAGCACCAAAACCAGATGTGACAGCAATACTCAATGCATGAACTAAGCAAGGATGAATGGTAGACTTGTAAATATGTAAGATAGATTTTGGCGATAAAAAATTGTATAACACGACACACTAACCCAACTTAGCAACAAACCTAGCATTTGATTCAATATAATATTTTTATTTCATCTCGGTTGAAGTCGTTAGTCCGAGAAAACGTTGGAGGTTAGCATCAGCCATACTGATGGAAGGTAAAAATCTTCTAGATGATTAAAAGAGAGCTGTTTCGTTCTGGAGGCATTAATACTTTCCACATAATGATAAGACATTAGCTAGAGGAAGACACCATTGCCACTAATGTCTTAGCATTATGTGAGAGGTATATCTGGGAGATGTATGTGGGAGGTATTTTCTGGGAGATATATGTGGGAGATATTTCTGGGAGATATATGTGGGATGTATTTCTGGGAGGTATATGTGGGATATTTCTGGGAGATATATGTGGGATGTATTTCTGGGAGGTATATGTGGGATATTTCTGGGAGATATATGTGGGAGATATTTCTGGGAGGTATATGTGGGAGTTTTTTTTTTTTCTGGGAGGTTTATGTGGGAGATATTTCTGCCGGTCTGTATATGTATGTCCGTTTCGTAAGATTGGTAAAATTCAGTCTTCTGTCATATTTCTAAAGAATTGATTTTTCTTCTAACAGAGTTTTAGTAATTCTAACAAGTTCTTACTTGGAAACAAAAGACTGCCTGGATGAATTTAACATAGCCCTCTGCCACAAAAGACAAGCCAAGGAACTGAAACTGATTCCACTGTATATCCAAACCTTGCTGAATTTGCCACCAGTTATAAGTAATGTGCAATATATGGATTGCAGGTTGGTTCTACCAATTTCTTTTTTTCTTTTTTTACACCGTTTTTTTTTTTTATTCACAAATCAATCCCATCCCACCGTCGTAACGTAGTTTTCCTCTGTTTTTTCTATACATATTTTCTTGATAATTGTTTTGATGAGCTTTTCTCTACGGAATGCTGATTTGGAATTAAATTTTGATGGTTATGCATCAGGATGGTGGGGCCTCTAGGCTGATCATTGGCAACCCAGTCCAAAATAGGGTAGTTCAGATTTGTTTTTTTTCTTTAGTTTATTCTCTTGAAATTATCTTATCTAGGGGATCTATGATCATCGGTCTCTTTTATTTTAATCCCAACTTTCTGTAGTTTAATTTCCCCCTTCTTTCCGCGGTAAGTGACAGAGATATCAGTTCTCTAGTGGATGCGGGAAGATTTTAGTTTCTTGGGGTGTGCTTTCGTATTTGTTTTTGTATCTGGATGCGTGGTTGGGTGAGTATTTAGTAGAGTGATCGTTTTCAATTATTGTATTCAGTCCTACATTAATTTCCTCTGGTTAACTGATGCTTCTGGCAAAAATGCAGGATTGTGGGGGGGAGCTTTCGTCACTAACACTACATTGTTTAGTTTTGTAAATAGAAATTATTTTATACATTGTATATACACATTCGGTTTCAATTTTATTAAAGTTGTTGTTTTTATTACGACCACAGACCATTTCTACATACAGGGACGAGTCAGGATTTCATAGAAACATGGTGGTAAAAAGAAAGAAGACAGTACTGAACTGTTCCATAATACCTGTCCTCCTATGCGGCAGTGGATGCTTGACAATCTCATCAAAGATTAAGAGACTTGAAGCAACAGAAATGTGGCTCTACAGAAGGATACTGAGGATACCATGGACCGAACATGTGAGCAACGACCAAGTTTTAGAGAAAATGAAAACAAAAAGGGATCTTATACACTTGGAAAATCTGATGCTCACAGTGCAGATTGAAGGCAAGAGAGACAGAGAAAAGCAACACATAACTTAGTGAGCTTGAGTAAATGGATTTCGGAACAGGGTTTAGGAGAAATAACAGAAAGACACAATTTATTAAGAGCTACGAATCGCAGGAAATTGTGGAGAACCATGATCACCTACGTCCTGATGGTACACGGCACATATAAGAAAAATAAAAGAGTTTGAAAACGTGTACTTTTGTATATATCCCCCCCATATTTCGTATTATGTACAAGAAAATACAGTAATAGTATTTCGAAATGATCATATTTTCCTTGTGGATCTTGGGTAAGCCATGCAAAGGGGGTCGTACAAAACCCACTGGTTTTACATAACTTATTGCTCGATCTCTTTAATCCAGTACTCAATAATCCGGTAACTACTATAGTCCGGCAT